AGATCACGCCTGATGATCGAATTTGGGACGTACCATGGCGCGTTGGTTATTAGGCGCAGTACTTTTGACTGGAAGCGTTCCAGTATTTCTATGTTGGAGTTGGATGCTGTCCCCCAGAGTTGTAATCCGTAGGTCCAGATGGGCTTGAGGATGACCTTGTATGCCAGAAGTTTGTTGTGTATTGAGAGACTGGACTTACGGCCTATAAGCCAGTACATTTTGGAAAGTGTGAGACCAAGTTGTTTTCTTTTGGTAAAGATAGGGTACGCGTGACGAAACTATCGGGTTCTAGTTCGGATGATTGGATTTATTGGCATTCAGTTACAATCTCCCCTAATCACAAATTAATAAAGCGCTATCGCTGATTTACACAATTTACAGTTCACCGTTGAACACGCAATAGGATTATCAGTTGCCACTAGTCGTCGTCTCCTAGCAACGGTTCTGAACACAGAAACTGTCACTTCAAATCACTATGAAGTCTTCTTTTCTTCTGTCACTTTTTACTCCTCTGCCCTAATCTACAGTAAACTGATCTTCACACTTCACTAAGGACATGTTCCATTCTCGCCCTTATATTCTCAACAGCTCCTAACTTCTGAATACACTTGCCTATAAGAACTCTGCTCACACTCCACGGAAAACAAGTCCGTATTGTCGATGACGTCACCGCGTTGAATAGCACGTTCCAATACGCGGAAATATATTTACTGAGCCGTTGCCTAGAACTGTTGCGTGCGTGTATTACTTAGCAACGACTCTTTCTGTGGCTTGACAGTTCTTTCATGGAGTGAATACGCCACAGCATATAAGAACCATCAGATATGATTGCTAGATAATTATCTAGCAAGAAGTGGTCTCTCAGACTAGACCTTGGTCCTGGTGTCCCTGAAATAAAATCTGTTAAGCGCCTAAAATATGTCTATGATAGCGGGTGGCAGAAATTTAAATTTGCAGCAGAATCTGCGGCGATACGAATGAAAATCATGAACTTGAAAAGTTAAGAATCCGTCTGGCCCAGAACAGACCAGTCTGTTGTGGACATAGTAATTGACGTGAGCGTTTCACAACTTTCGTGTTGTTTCCGGACTCTCTGACTGTCAGGTTCAGACCAGTCTGTTGTGGACATAGTAACTGACGTGAGCGTTTCACAACTTTCGGGTTGTTTCCGGACTCTCTGACTGTCAGGTTCAGACCAGTCTGTTGTGGACATAGTAACTGACGTGAGCGTTTCACAACTTTCGGGTTGTTTCCGGACTCTCTGACTGTCAGGTTCAGACCAGTCTGTTGTGGACATAGTAACTGACGTGAGCGTTTCACAACTTTCGGGTTGTTTCCGGACTCTCTGACTGTCAGGTTCTCAAGAGAGACTCTGTTTATTAGAAATGCTCAGATAACAGATTCCCTGTTTGTGGCCATTAAACTAATTGTAAATATTTTTAAAATGCTAAATATTCTGACATGGATATTATGATGTAAAAATTATTAGGATAAAGAGTAAACAGAATTGAAATGACTCCATACTGGGGGTTTAAAAAGATTAATATTGGTAATTGTAACTTGATGGCTATATATTAAACATTAAAGCATCCTGTTGCATTAATATAAATTTTACACACAATAATACAGTTCCGTCAACAATTCATTGTTGATGGAACTGCGTTATTGTGTGTAAAAATTAAACATTATAACAGGCATGTATTACGTCGATACCTAATATGAAAATGACTTGCTTCACAAATAGGACTCGGAAGTTACTGTGGGTGAACTCTATAAATCATGCAGACTGCAATGAATAATATGCCGTCATGACTACTTTAATTTTAGACTGTAGTTATATAGGTGGCCGTTCACGGTAGCCGAGCGGTCTAAGGCATGTACTGTCTTCGCTCGCTTGGAAACCGGGATCGTGGGTTCGAATTCCACTCAGGGCATGGATGTTTAGTTTGTGTGTGTGCTTTTTCTGTGTTTGTGTACAGGTAGAGGCCTTGCGACGAGCTGATCACTCGCCCAAGGAGTCCTACCGAATGTGTAAGATCTAGAAAAACCGAAGTGAACGGAGAAGTTCATGGAGGTAGGCCTAGGCCCACTGGGGCTGTAGTGCCAAGGGGAAAAACGTTGCGTAGGTAAACCGATCACATTGGCCTGGCTCTCTACCTCTCGAATACAGTTTCGATTCCACTCAGGGCATGAAAGTTTTTCTGCGGTTTTCTGTATTTATGTTGCCCTGTGAAGAGAGGGACCCCCCGTCTACCAAGGAACTATAAATGAGATTCCGAAGCCCTGAAAACGGGAGGCCTTCGACCGCATTGATATGTCATGCGTTAAAACAGAAGAGAAAGAAGCTGCGTTCCTTTCTCTAATCAGCAGAAAACCTCGCGCAAATGTAAGTTTCAATCATTTTTATCCATTCTTTATTCAGTCAGTATTGATTGGGTTTCATACATAACGACACAAAAACTTTCGCAGTTATTGCTCTCAAATTGGAGTAGTCGGCGATTTTGAAGGGAGAAATTGGAAAGTTTAAGAAGTACACAGCCATGTGTTACGTGAATATTGCTTCTGTAACACAATACTCAATTTCCCATTTTTGTGATAACTTTTCAATTATTAAAGGCAATTTTGCATTCTATAAGACCTTAGTGCTGAGAGGGTTGGTGTAGCTATAGTGATCAGGAAATACTCGGTTCGAATCTCAGTCGGGTCTCCAGTTGTTTAGATTGAGTTTTCTTGATTTTCCTCAGTTCCTCGGTCAACCTACTATTTATTTCTTCCAAATCCTTGTAATCTGTTAGTCATCAACCATCATACGGAACAGGCCGGTCTAGTGCTAAAACTCTACTCGTTTATTTGAGAGGTGTCCGGTTCGAATCTTAGCTGGAACACCGGCTATCTCTCCAGGAAAATTCTGGGATAGTACCTCAGTTAGATCACGACCGTTTCGTTCCAGCTCGTTTCAACTTATCCATCTTCTACCATTCGAATTTGTGTAATCTAAGGTACTAGGAAGGTCGTACATTAGGCAGACACACACACGTACGTACATACCCACACAATAGAAAATAGTGTTACATTATTTTTTCCGTTCTACCTTGTAATCCTTGTATCCCTTGGCGCTGATGACCGCTGTTCATTCCAACCTAAAACAAAAAAAAAAAAAAGAAAAAAAAAGAACTCCGTGGCTCGAGTCCGCAAGCGAACTATACCGACTGAGCGACCGCCTCTTGTCGTCGAAGTTAGTGCAAACCTTAGCGGATAGAGTGTGTCGCGTGGTCAGCGCAACGATGTCCGTGAAATAGCTCCTCAAATACCCTCACGAGCTCACGAGTCTGAGTGGGTCCCGTTCCAGACCCACTACTTCTCAGAAAATCTGGTAGTGCCGGGAATCGAACCCGGACCTCTGGATCTGTGCGCAGGATCTCTGACGACTAGATCAAAGAGGCGGTGACCTAAACCACACTACGTGAAAATAAGACGGAATGAATGTGTTATCTGAATCAGTGTGGAGTGGTTAAACAGTCCGTGTGTGACAGACATGTTGTGAAGCCACGTTGACATTCTCCAAGGCACACTGACAGGGTCATCACCTCGCCTCCACTCACCTTGAGGCGGGCAGGGCGTTGTTGCATTCGCCGAGTGAAAAGGACAGTGCAAGATAGTGAACGTACTGAGAAAGGGGAGCGATTCGCCAAGAGAGGAAAATGTCGAGAGGTAAAAAAGAGAGAGGGAAAGTTAAGTACTTCAGGAGTGAATCTTCTATATAACACGTTGTGTAGTGACCAGCTTGAACCACTCTTCCAGTCCTCATTTAGTGGAGCAGGAGCTAGAGAAGCCTCTGGATTAATACTCACCAACATGAAGCTTTTGGTGAGTGTGTTCGTGAGCACTAAGACTTTCAGTTGTTCTGTTTATGAACTGTTAATTCTGTAAGTTTTATTTTCTATTCATCGAACACGACTCATTCGATGGGTGGATTTTCAAACTAAAAGGAATAATTAATGTCGTAAATTCTACTTTGATTATATTATAACGAAATTATATAATTTAATTTAGAATTTTCTAATAGTTTTTGTTTTCGCAATATTGTTTAGATTGCAGTATAACGATTACATAAGCAACATAATTTAATGATGAAACATGGCACAATTAAATTCTATTTTAATGAAAAAATTACATTTTTCAAATATTCATTTATTATTCTATTACTGGGCGTGGTCTGGATGTCAGTATATGTAGAGAGGTTCTGTGCGAGCCTCGTATAAATCGTTCGGTCATTGTAACCGAAGAGAAACAAACTCCTCGCTGCAGCATGTATCGCGTGTGTTCTGAACCGCATTAAAATCGACATGCCCATAGGCCCAATAAATCACAAACAAAACCTATCCGTATCAAAGCAAAGTTCTGAAACAGTCCCATTTTTTGCGCATTCCTCCCACTTTCGTGAAAACTTCATATCCGTGGACTGGTATTTCTTTTCTAAAATGTAGCATACTTGAAACTTTAAACTTGAAACCTTGGGTTCCTGTGGGAAATAAAAAGGGGATTTTTGAGAAGAATGTTTAAGTCTAGCACGGACTTTGTTCTATTTCATTTCTGCGAGCGCTCTGCGTTTAGTTTTCGTTCTGGTGTATCCAGCAACGGCCTCTTCTGTCAAAATATATTTAGTATTTTAAAATAAAAAAGCAAAGATATCCCTGTAACAGGCCGTGAAGGTCCATAGGGTTGTGAGACGTTGACGGTCCCACATTATCTAGACAAAGATGGCGGCCGCGCTTTACTCCCCAGGAAAATTATTGAATTAATTCCTGATACTCATTTCTGGTAGAGGTCAAGTCGACCCCAGGGCCATAGTGCAGCTGGAAGGATTGGGTTAATTGAAAAAATCCAATGACCTCATCGGGACTTGAATCCGCGACACTCCGACTTGTAGCACAGTGCCTCAACTAACTACCCTACCGCGTAGGAATAGTATTTTCTATTTGGAATTGTAGCATCCTGAATTTTATGCCAGAAACTTCTCATTCTTCCCGTGTATATTGCACATGAACATCTGCTTCAGTGTGCAAATATAAATATGTTTTTTGGACAAAAGGAACACTGATTGAGTTGAAACGAAGGTATACCACCCTCTGTAGGGGCCGAACGCTTCGCAACAGTTTAGAAGATAATTTATCTGTATCTTTATAATCAAAATAACAATAATTATTTTAACAATATGCAGTTAGATTCCACTGCAAAGTATTTTTTATTTCTTTTATACATGATTTTGTTCCCGCTAGAGTTCATTGCATGTAGTTGGATTTGGAAGGGATGAATGAGATATATGTTTCAAGCTCTACACTTTAATTTTATGAAGAAATTTACTCAAATTTGCGATGTGAAAATAGATTCATATGAGAATACAAAGATCCATTGAAGTTTTCAAACTCCGAATTCAATTTAAAGGAACCAAGGAAAAATGATTGCCGGTGCGCGAGGTAATAATTACTGTGTAAGATTTGAGGCTTTCACGGCGGTGACTATGAAGAAAGCAGTCTTCTGGGATTTGGCACCGTGTATATGTGGTGTTAACCGACGTTTCGGAGGAACGTATCGCCTCCATCTTCAGCAGACTGCTTTTACCGGTTCTCACGGTCTCTTTGCTTGCACATTTCTTATATATTTTTTCTTCTACCCTGAAGATGGAGGCGATACGTTCCTCCGAAACGTCGGTTAACACCACATATACACGGTGCCAAATCCCAGAAGACTGCTTTCTTAATAATTACTGGTTCAAAATCTGCGACCTTTGTTAGAAAATATTTGGACATGGCAGAAATACAATAAATTATGTTTATAAGTAGAATTGTAGCTCCACTGTTGACAAGAACACTTTATGACTAGTGCAGCGTGGTAGAGTAGGTTACAATATATGAATATACACTATGGTATACTGGTCATTATACAGTATCTTCCAACAGACACTGAATGGACAGAACTATAAAGGGAACGGGAATGTAAGCAAATTGCGTGGGTGAGTGTTGCAATACTTGCCGAAGATCTGCCTGAATCGAAGCGGTTTAGTGGCCCTGATACGAGCAGCCAGTGAAACCGTTCTGTGACGTAGGATCGAATTCGTTATTTTGTCATATGAATACAGAAAGTGACATGGCTTGAGGCATTATGAGAAGTTTTCTGGGTGCCAGCTGCTGTTTTTTTTTAATTCTATACCGTGGCCCAGTGAGAGCGCGTCAGGAAGGACCGCACTGTTACAAAAAATGGAGCTGTGCACTACAAGATTGAAATTAGAGTGCAAACAGAAGCTATTCCACGAGAACCCATAACGTATTTCTCGTACACTGATCAGGCTATTTAATGACCTCAGTCATCACCGGAAAGCATCATACCGTGCTGTTTTGTAGTCTTTATAGAACGAATTTAGCTTCAGACCCTTACTCCCCCCCCCCTTTTTTTTTGTTCTGCTCTGTAAACTATAACCGCTAAGGATGCAGTTCATTTTAGCACATTATATTCCATCATGTATAGAATACATAAGCTGTTAATTACATAAATAAAAGGAAGTTTGAAGAGAAGCGTCGAAATGCAATTACCAGATACTTATTTGGCCCAGTCACACAGTCAGCATCAAGAGTCCTGCGTCCCATTGAGCCAGTGACGTCTCTTCAGGGACTAAGAGATAAAACTTATGTGGCAGGAATGCATACAATACAGGGGTTGATCGAGCAGATTGACGTGAGGTAGTGTTGACGGCATATCTCGTATTCAGTGACACTTGCAAACTGTGCCCTAGGATACATTTCTGATCTCCGGTAATCGCCGTCTAGCAGGTTAGTGTTCAGCATCCTTTGTATATTAAAGAAAAAACTTCTTGGGTCATGCATTTGTCACCATGCTGGTGAGAACAGGCAATGAGATGTAGGTATCGGATTGTATTAGAATTCACACAGATGAATGTCAGCCAGCCTTGGAAATGTGGTGCAGTCAAGAAAGAATAAGGTTACTAAAATTACAAAGACATATTCATAAATTCATGTAATAGCATAATTAATTAATTAACGCTCAGGTTAGAAAATATAATACCATTATATTACACTCTCTTTCATTACAATCCTAATGCAAGATATCGAATAATATTTCTGAATAATAAACAGCCCTGTTCAAATAAGTACCAAAACATTTGTTGAATTATGACCAAATCTCAAAATTTGAATGATATTTGAAAGAGATGATACCAGTGACCTTACCTATGCAATCTCCAACTGCCTATACTATTTTCAGATCGTGTTGGGAATATCGGCCCTAGTCACTGTCTGCGTTATAGCTGAGGTTCCTCATGACGGCAAGAAAGACCTCGATGAAGCGGCATCCAAAAAGGACAAGCGCACCACCTCATCATACGACAGCTCCAGCGGGCACAGTGGAGGCTTCAGCTTGGGTGGTCAGCACGGAGGTGCGAGCCTCAGTTACGCTTCGCCAATCGCAGGCCTCAGCCTCGGCCACTTCCCAGGTCTTGGGCTGTCTTCAGGCTTTGGCCATGGAGGGTTTTCTCTAGGTGGCGGAGGACTGGGTCATGCGTTATTGCTGCAAGGAGGACATGGTCTAGGCGGTCTCAGCTTTGGAGGTCACGGTTTAGGCCAACCACTTCTCCTCCAAGGTGGCCACGGACTCCCTTCATATGGTTTGGGAGGTATTAGCGGCCTAAGTCTTGGTGGTGGTCATGCCACGGTAGCAGCACCTGTAGCAATTGCTCCAGTAGCAGCGCACACTACATCTAAACTTGGTCCAGTCACTTTCGGTCTCGGCACAAGCGGGTACAGCGGTTCTTCAGCCAATATCGGTCACGGAGGGGCCAGTCTCAGCTACAGTAGTCCCAGCATCATCAGCGGCTACAGTGGTTCCAGCCTGGGGGCTTACAGTGCTCCAGTTACTCTTGGCCACGCATCGTCTTCAGGATCTTCTTCATACAGCTCACCTGCTGTGAGTCACAGCTCATCCTCCTCTCTGGGAAGCTACAGCGCTCCCTCAAGCAGCTACAGCTCACCTTCCGCAAGCTACAGCTCGCCTTCTGTAAGCTACAGCAGTGGAAAAAGCTATAGCAGTCCCTCAGTGTTGAGCAGCTACAGCCCTGGAGGATCATACTCCACCCCTTCGTCCAGTTTGGCAAGCTACAGCTCGGGAAGCTACGCTGCGCCTAGTGTAAGCCAGGGTTCAGCTTACTCCTATAACTCTCCTTCCAGTAGCCACGATAGCAGCAGCTCCTACAGTAACCCCTCCAGCGCACACAGTTTCGCGGGGTCTACATACTCTTCAGGTGGCAGCACTGGTCATCCAAATCTGGCTTCATATTATTCATCAGGAGGCTTTAGCGGAACCAGCAGCAAAGGTTTCTCGCAGTAACTCATGCCACTTGTTCTCTCGTAACGGTTCATTTGAAACCCTTGTAAATATATAGAGAGTAAGCAGTTTATCAGGGGTCGCAGTAGCGCACTGTGTGGACCTCTCACTCTCAATTTGCAGATGCGCTGCTCTCAAATTACTCTGCTTATCACACTGGTGCGTCATTTCGGTGGCATCTGCACAACTTTATTATGCGAATGTGGCATTGGCGTTCTTATACCATCCACAATACGAGTATAATCGCCAGATATTTCACCCACTCTATAATTATATAAATACAATACAGTTTTAAAAGTTTCGTCGTCTGCGAGCCAGCAGCAAATACCACGGCCAGTCAAGAGGAACAGGGGGACGCTCCTGATGTGAAATCTCTCTGCGCGATTTTCCCGCAGCGCAGTCAAGCCCGCAGTACAACAGATGACAAACAAATCCCACCCACATCATAAGAGATGGTGGGGCTGTGTTCCTGCTGTTCCACATGCATTCGTAGCGGAGCGTTCACATTCAAGGACAGATGCTCATTTTCGGAAAAGTAGCAAATTCTAAACTTGAAATGTTAAACCCACGCCTCCTGTGCAAAGCATTAAAATGTTTCGAGGGGAATGCTCAAGCACAGCGCTGACTTCATCCACTTTATCTCGACTAAGAACTCGGTGTTTTGATCCTGTTCTTTATTTTCACTAATGACTCTGCATATCTAATTCCCTTTATGATTATATGAATAGCATTTTATATTTGGACTAGTTTCATCCTGAAACTTATAACAGAATGTTCTTTTTACTTTTCATGTTGAAATTCCCCGTGAAGAATCGCTTCATTATGCAATTCTGATGTGAAATCTCAGAGCACTGCAAGCGGCGCTACTGAGTCATGCATTGGCTTGGATTTGGGATTACAGTCGATGGGCACATAACACATAAACTTGCTTCGCGGTCGCTGTTCAGAGGTGTGTTGGTGGTATATTGGACAATTTTGATGTGTATGAGCTATTGGCCTGTCGATTCCACCAGGATCCCGAACGTGGACAGTGCGAGATGACCCCCAGTGGCGTGTGTTCCTCCCGGCCAAGTGGCCGATGGATATGGGGAAGGCCTTTATTCGAACTCCATGTGTATAGCTCTAATCCCTTTCCTTGTATTGTTAAACTAGAGAATTACAGTATTTTGCATATAAATTACTGATAGGCTCTTGATTATCAACGCGACGGATCTCTGTACTAAATGATAATTGCACTGGTTTATTTGGAGTTTTCATATGACTTTATGTAGAAGTTCGAATATTTTGACCACCATGTTACCATACCAGCGAATTATAAAATATTCCTAATTATTTCAATGCACTATAATTCGCAAATAAATTGTGCAAGGAGAAATATACTAGAGCACACAATGACAATTTATTAATTTGTAACTTCAAGAAAGACTCAGCTCAATGGATTTCGTTAATTTGTTAATTAGTTTGTTAGTCTCAGCGAATGAAAAATTTCACAAGCACCCTACGTATATGCTCTGAATGTTCCACATTCTCTTATTTTTGGGTAATCCAGACTTTACTTCCTCATATCATGTCACTGGTCTTTCTTTCATTCTTCTACCTTCTGAAAATTTCCATGTCATCTGTAGTCGCCCATTTTATTTACTCCTTCTTACATGTAGTAATTTCTTCAATTGAAATGTCATCTATATATTTTTCACGTACTTCAGTATTTCGTGTTTATACATTTTAATTTTCACCTTTATCACACTTTTGTAGTTACTACGAACATAATATCAGTTAATTTTACCAACATCATACTAACATCAATCACTAAACCATGCTCACAACATCTTCACGAAACCAAACTCACAGACCGTTAGCCATATACTTTCACTGCTGTCTTATGGACGTTAATCACGTGTTCTACTATACTACGTAAGATATTTGTGCTTACTGTATTTCCATCGTGTTGTTAATATTTTTTGTTACACACACTTTTTTATTTGTTAATAAATGAATTTTATATTATATTTTAATCTGTGTGAACCAACCATTTACTTTCCCTCTTAATTTGCAACACATTTACGGGTACAAAACTTGAAACGAAAAATGCAGACCTACTATTGGAAGAAATAAAGAAAAGCTAAAAATAAATGCATACTTCTGCTGTGTATTGTGATTAAGTAATCTGATTCCAAGAAAACTACTTGCAGAAGCAAGAGAGTTATGAAATGGAATGTAAGGAGGAGTAGCATATAGAGAGAACATTTTGTGAAATCGGTAAATTATGATTGTGCAGTGTCTTTGGAGAGAAGAAGAACTAAATATTTTTGGCTAAGCATGCTTGCAGGCAAGTCTCTGTCGCCTTGCCATCCCATGAACAAGATTTCGCGCTCAAACACACCAACTACTGCTCTGAGTAACATCTGTGTTTAGTAATTTGTCAGTGAATAAAATCTGCCTGTTCTTTGATAATTCAAATAATTTACTGTTTCATATCATTGAGAATAATGGCACGGATCAGGGATACTGTGGGCAGATAAAAGAGAGAACTTATCGGAAATAAAACAAATAATAGTGGACTCCCTACTTTTCCTTCAAGCCTATATTACACTTTATAATTCCATCAATGATTTCGATGAAGAAATAACTGCTTTTGCTCCCGTTGCACATATTAAACGCCCAGGGATCCTAGCAAATCACTCAAATTCCGATGTGAGAAACCCTCTTATATACAGGATGTAAAAATAATGAAGCTGGTCGAAAGTTTTCAATCTTTTCTCAAATACATTCGTATCAAGAAATCAGTTTGAAGACTGAACTGAAAATATTAATTTTAAATTAATATAATCCAACTTTTGATCGTGCTGATAGTAGAACTGGTTACACTGTCATGGCATTGACAGCAGTTATCGACATATTTAATTATTTACGGTTTATTTAAAGACCCTCTCAGTAGCTCGAATATACCTGTATATTGTCGAATGATAGGTTGATCAGTGCATGATGAATTTGGAGGTATGTTGAAGGAAAGCGGTGTGGCATAACTTGAAGTGTCCTGTATCTTCCCGGAGATATTGAGGAAAACCATGAAAGACTGTAGTCAGCGTAGCCGGAATCGAAGTGCTCTCCTAAATACGGGGAAAATTGGGATCACGAGGCGTCTCCGTTACAAGGGATACAGAAGACAACTAGACGAAATGTTCGGGCCTACCGAGCTTATGTAAGAGAGTTCACTCGTGAATTCAATTCATTCATTCGTAATAGAATTCAGAAGGCAGTTCAGTAGTTGAATATTCAGTTCTGAATTGTTAACCAGGTAAGATTCGTGACCGAGCAACGAGTAGCAAGCAGACACTGAAGACTTTATTCTGTGTTCTATAGTTACAGTAATCTATACAGTTTTACAATTCAGTTTCTTCCTCTGTCCATTGGTTATAATAGATCAATGTACAATTGTCACGATTCAGTTACTAGACATGGGGTTTGAATTGTAATATGATTTATTGAATCCTGATCAATCGTACTTACAAGTAATTATAACGCTTTCTCTAATTCACGCACTCGATTTCTCACTAGAGCACGCTCTATATCTTCCCAGTATGCTGTGACTTCACCAGTCGTTGCCTAGTAACGGATATAAATAATGCTTCCTTAATGCAGTGCTTTGTTTCTTGCAGCTATCTCTTTCTGGGCTATATCTGTGGGGGAGGAAACAAACAACGGGAAACAATATACGATAAACTAACAACAGAACAAAATAAAACTCCGTGGTTGTAGTCCGCAAGGGAACTATACCGGCCGAGAGACCGCTGGTTGTCGGCGAAGTTACTGCCAACTTTAGCGGATAGAGGGTGCCGCGTGGTCAGCACAACGAATCCCCACGTTAATTTCGGTTTTCTAGACCGGAGCCGCTACTTTTCCATTCAAGTAGCTCCTAAATTATTCTCACTACTTCTCAGAAAATCTGGTAGCGCCGGGAATCGAACCCGGAACCTCTGGATCTGTAGCCAGGAACTATGACCACTAGACCACAGAGGCGGTCACAAGAGACCTATGGCTTTCTAAAATATTGAATGATAAATTAAAACATAGCGTGTAATCGCAAGTGCCAGCCTACACAGTCCGTGTCACACTTCGTGCTAAATTTGGCTTGTGTACCAGTGTTTGGCCATTCCTGGTGTAGAGGTACAGTGAACTCAAGGACACACCCGCATGATCGTCGTGACATGGAAACTTTCTCCTGACAAGTTCCAGTCCTTTTCACTGCACTGATTACGAAGGTCAGTGCCAAACAATAATCTCTTGCACTTGTTTCTGTGGCCCACTTACACGCCTGCACAAAGAGGCAAATGCAGTTCCATCCAGAGAATGCATACAAGAATCGATCTACTGTTTCTTGTGCCTTTACTTTTAACGCTTTGGTGTCTGAAGAAAGAGCCTTGTGTCTACCTCTGCTGGGCAACAGCTGGATGGCCGTAACCACTAACATAGGCCGCGCCATAGCTCAAGCGATTAGTCGCTGGTTTCCCACCGCTGCGGTCCGGGTCTGGTCAAGTGGGATTTGTGGTGGACAAATTGGCGCTGGGGCAGGTTTTCTCCCAGTACTTCGGTTTCCCCTGCCAATCTTCATTCCACCAATTGCTTCACAATCACCCTCACCTATCATCTGGGGCTGGTACAATAGGCCAGAAGAGGCATTAGTACAAGGGACTTAGTCCCACCCCACTAGCAATAATAAAAAAGAACATAACGAGTGTCCTGCGTTGTGCATAGGTCTGAACACTGGACCATTCGGAGTAATTGGAATGATGAAGTCAAGGAGGAGCATAATATGGGTAGGGAGTGTGTCATCAATGGGAGAGAAAGGGATTGCAGAGAGAATTTGGGTGGGAAAGTCTTAAGGAAAGTGAACAGTAAGAAGACCTAGACGTAGATGGGAGGATAATGTTAAAATGGATCTTATAAAGATAGAATTGGGTGGTATGGACTGGATTTGTCTGACTCATGATATGGACCAGTGGAATGTTCTTGTAAACACTGTAATGAACATTGGCGTTCCATAAAATATTGGAAAATGTTTGAGTAGCTGCGTAACTCACGGCTTCTCATGAAGCACTCAACTCCAAGGAGGTAGCTAGGTTATTAGTAAAAACGGTCAAAAGGTAAATTTGTCCCCTGTGCTTAACTAAGCAAGCATTACACCATGAAAGCGCATCGGGGAGTGGATGTATAGATCCATATTTTCTTGATCTCGGCAAGAGCTGGAATTGAATGGTCAGCTTCACCCCCCTGCCGCTTTACCCCCGAGGAAAGAGTCCCTAACACCCATTGGATAGGAGGCTGAGTGGGCCCCAGAACCGGTCTGGATGACTTGGAGAAGAGAAAATTCTTCATTATAGCGGGACTCGAACTCCGACTCCTCGGTCGTCTAGCCCGTAACCAGCAGCCATATCAACTACGCTACCCTGGCTCCTAGTTTATTAGTGTAATGTAGAAAAATACGATAATATTTCAAATTATAATTTGGAATTTCGATATGGTCAGGAATAAGCATTCTTTAAGATGATTTGGTTTTGAGAAACTCTATAATTCGACCTTCATGTAAAAATTAGTTGGGAGATACAAACCAAATTAAATTCACAGAACAATTTTTTGGATCATATCAAGATACAACGTTCCCTCCTAGGTACTGATATTTATTTATAATATAACCAGACCGAAAAGGCGACATCTTCTATGAAATAATTATTCGCTTCTAGTAACAAGAATATGCTGTAATATTCGTCATTCTGAAGTTTATGTTGTACTTATAATAGTGGATAAGTACTAAATCTTAAAATTACGTGTGTAACACTGGAAGTATATTAAAATTCTCCTTAATAGGGCATAGTGGACATGCGCTTTCACAAAGGAACTATTTTAACTACTCATAATAGGGAAGCACGGAGACCAGCTTGTCACGACTCATAAATATTGGTCACATAACTAAACGTTGATGGCGACTTCTTCTCCACAAGAATCGTTTGCTTCGGCTAAAAAAGGTATATAGTTCGTGTGGAACCTGTTATTCTCTTGGAAGTTCGCATAATTATGAAGTCCAGTTTGGAGTTTCAGTCAAAGAATAAATGATCCAGGACTAAGAGAAAGTCTCGTAAACTCACCCCTCCCCCCGTTTTAACACGCACTTGATAATTGGAGCCGGTCTGTATATGAAAGACGCAAACGAAGAGAACAGCAACCTAACAATTCACTACTTTGCTTTTAGAGTAGTGAAAGGAAGTAAATGGACTTTCTTTCAGGGTTCATACTAACAGCTTCCACTGTTCTTATTCTCTGCTTGTCTACATTTCCCGTGTTCAAATCAGCGTAAAATTGGTTTCCGGTTGAGCTAGTCCCTTCTACACACATAGGGCTAATAGCACAACCGTGTCAGAAACAAAGTGGACCTTTCACGGTCAAGGTTCCTTTTATAGGTAAACAAATTCTAAAACCTGACATGTAAATTCCGACCTGAATATATTTCTCGAGATTACTATTTTGAGTCTCTCTGTTTTCTTGCAGTACATAAAGGAAACGCATTATGGAAGTGTCATATATATATACACAACAGCATGTTCCAGCACCAAAATAATTTGACTGATTTTGATGTTGATATTAGCGGATTATTATAAATGCTGAGCGAGCTAACACTGGTCAATATCTGCCCAATATAAATGAAAATATTTTCTCTAAAAATGTTTCACAATATAACAACGGTGTGGAATAATTAGTATGTATTTCTGTGGAACGTTTCACAATACAGTGCCATTTCTAGTGTTCTTTCTCTTCTTAAGAATCTGCTTATAGGTTTTATATTCTTCGGGGAATCCAAGTAAGAGTTAAGTGTGATGTAATGCATCTTTTACCTATTTCCACGTAAGCCTCTTTACGTCATACACAAAACAAAATGTTGGCAGAACATTTGTAAGTTGTAGG